CAAGGACTCGCCCCGCTGGGAGGAGGACGACGACTTCTACCCCGAGGAAGAGGACGAGGACTACAGCGAGAACGAGCAGGACTATGGCCCGGGCAAGGCCGAGGTGGCGCGGGAGCAGGACGCGGGCGAGGCCAAGCCCCCGGAGCGCGAGCCCCACCCGGTGCAGCCCGCCAAGCAGCAAGTGCCCCCACCGCAGGTGCAGCAGGTGCAAACGCAGAAGCAGCAGGAGAGGAAGGAGGAAAAGGCAGCTTATGTCCCCGAGGAAATCCCGGAGAGCCCCCAAGAAAAGCTGGCCGTGGAGGAGCCCCGGGTCCCAGAGAGAGAGCCGGAGCTGGAGCCGGAGACCCCTAAGCCAGCAGAGGGGTGAGGAGGGGGCGAGGGAGGAAGGGATCCTGGGGTTTCATCTTTTCTCCTGCAGGGTCTCCAGGCTGTCTAAGGCGCCCACCCACCCTGGGGCCCAGTAGCTGGGCCTGGCTGGGGGGAGCCGTGCCGTGACCTGCGCTAGCTAAGGGAGCTGGCACGTAGAGCCAGGGGCTGTGACGGCATGTGCCGTGTCTGCAGGGCTAGGGACTCTCCTCTGTGCCTCATCCTAGGCACCTGCTATTCCTGGGCAGTCACAGTGTAACTGGCAGTAACAGCGTGTGGGGTGTATGACACCGCACCATGGGGCCAGCACACTAGTGACCCGTGGGGCCTGCACGCTAGCGTTCTGTGGGGCTGGCACGCTAACAACCCATGGGACTGGCATGCTAGGGACCTGTGGGACTGGCATGCTAGCGTCCTGAGGGGCTGGCACGCTAGCGACCCGTGAGGAGCTGGCATGCTAGCAGTGGGGACATGAGCTGCTTGGGCCCGGTGGCCCACTGCTACACAGCCCATGGGGGAGCATGTGCCTGCCATAAACGTGCTCGGTGCCCCCCACCGCATGGCAATTGGGCTGTCGGCCTGGAATCGGGGCCCTGAGTGATGGTCTGAACCAGAGCTGGGGCCCCAAACCCCTGTCACTGGTGCCAATGGATCCTCTCTGTCTATGCCATGGCTGCTGGATCAAGCCCCAGAGCCTGTCCCTAGGAGCCAGAAGCTGCTGGGTGGTGCCCGGAAAACGTGCTCGGTGCCCCCCACCGCATGGCAATTGGGCTGTCGGCCTGGAATCGGGGCCCTGAGTGATGGTCTGAACCAGAGCTGGGGCCCCAAACCCCTGTCACTGGTGCCAATGGATCCTCTCTGTCTATGCCATGGCTGCTGGATCAAGCCCCAGAGCCTGTCCCTAGGAGCCAGAAGCTGCTGGGTGGTGCCCGGATCCCAGGCTGACGATGGTTTTACCACCCGGTCACCCAGAGCTGCTCTGAGCGGGGCCAGACATGCTGCTGGCCCCGGGTGCACTGCCCCGCCTGTTCGCCGAGCTGACCTGGTGCCAGTGCCCACAGGAAGGGTGCAGGAGGAAAGCCCAGCAGAGCCAGCCCCCGAGCACTTGGCGCTCAGCCTGGGTCCGCTCTGCCACCTCTCTGGGCACCTGGGCAGGCCAGCAGTGAGCTAGAAGCAGTGACTGGCTTGGGTCCACAGATCTGCAGCTCTGAAACTGCCTGAAACTGTCCCAGGCAGGTCAGCCCCCTGAGGATCACCCTCCCACTAAGTAAGCCCCTGGTCTTCGCAGCCTGTGGGACTGAACCCCGGAGCCTTCGGCAACCCTGGGTCATGCCGTGAGAGCCCCTCGGCGAGTCCACCTGACCTGGACACCTGGGGAAACATGCACCCCCCAAAGGGGCCATGCACCCCAACTTCCTGACTCTTGTGACGCCAGGCGTGTTTATTCCGTCCTGATCACAACGTCCTTAGTTGCCATAGAGAATGGAAAGTGACAGCAAAGTCCATCGGGGTCAGTCCAGAGCCCTCTGACCCCCTCTTTACTGCCAGTCCAGAAGCTGGTGACACCTGGCTGGCTTCCCCAGGCATTGGGCCACCCAGGTGTGCTGAGTGGCCATTGCCTTCTGGGACTGTCCTCTGTCCCCTGGCAGCTGAGCGTCCATTACACCTGTATCTCTGGGTCTCTGCAAAGAATAAACAACCCTTCCCCCCACTTTGTCATCCATACACCGAGGGGAAACTGAGGCACACTAGTCATACAAAACTATGAAAAGTTCACACAAGCAGAAGAGGCTGCCTGTGCTCAGCAGCAGAGCCTACACGTGTGCTTGCAGCCAGCTGTGTTGGGAGGGGAATGTCTCTGGGGTTTGGCCGGCTTTCCTTTAAGTGCCATTACAGAGTCCTTAACCCCCATCAGAGCCAGGTGGAAAGAAACTCCATAGCTCATTTCATCCACGGCACAGGTGTTCCTGACACCGGCCCTCCCTGCGGCAGGGCACAGGGCCAGAATGCACCCTGGGCTGGCGTGTGAACGTTCCCTGTTCTGACGTGGGCTCAGCTCTGTCCCTTATGTTGCCAGCCCTTGTGGAAATCCCAGGCGAAACGGTTCATCTGGCTCCAGTTTGCATCTCCTGGAGGCTTGGAAAGGAGGGTCTGCTCAGCTGCTGGCCCAGGCGTTCCTGAGCCCGCAGGGAGGCACTGAGAGGCCAGCCAGGGAGGGGAAAGCCCCCTTTGGCTGGAATGCAAAGGGGCCAATTTGCCCCCCATATCATGTCCCTCCCATGGGAGGGGGAAGGCCCAAATCCTGACTCCAGGTGGAGGATCTCACTTTCAGCCCGTTTTTGGCCTGTTCATTTGTTTGTAAATCTCTGTTTTCACCTCCTGTGTAACTTTAAGGCACTAGCCCCCTTCCAGGTGCTTTGCTGGTGCGAGCAACCTGTAGCCTGCCTTCCGCACAGGCATGTACCCAGCGTTTCGGACCAGTGTAGGATTGAATTCACTAGACTGGAATCATGTCAACCCTTGTGCGGCTCTTGTGTTGACTGAACCAGAGCCATGGGGACTCTGAAGAGGCACCAGTCTGTTCCCTGAGCGTCCCCACAGGTATTAAAGCAGGAAGAAAACTTCCTGGAGGGCCTTCATCTTTCCAGGCTGCATCTGAAAGCCCCTCCCTCCATACCCTCCTGATTTGCAGAGTTGAAAAAACGTGATGGCTGCTTCCCTGGTGTGAGGTGACTAATTCAGGGATGTCAGCCTCTGCGTTTGGTATGGAGCACATCTGCTTTTCTCTGGCTGAGTGAGCCGTCACTCCAGAATGGAGAGGATGCAGCCACAGACGTCTTTCTTGGGTTTCTTACTTTGTTTAAATGCTAGACTGAAGCTCTGATTAAAAGGAGCACACAGGGAGCTTGCAATTAAAATGAAGAAGGATTGAGGAATTTCAGATTGTCCTCATAAAGTTAGTTGGGATTGGTCCTGCCTTGGGCAGGGGGCTGGACTTGATGACCCCTGAGGTCTCTTCCAGCTCCAGGATTCTGACTCTATGTTTCTGTGTGTGTTGGGCGCTCAACATCTCTGGCCAGTGAGGGTGCTCGTCAGAGATTATAACAGCCTACTACAGCTACTTGCCACTAGGAGGGTATGTCTACACTACCCCCCTAGTTCGAATGAGGGTATGTCTACACTACCCCACTAGTTCGAACTAGCGGGGTAATGTATGCATACCGCACTTGCTAATGAAGCCCGGGATTTGAATTTCCCGGGCTTCATTAGCATAAAGCTGGCTCCGCCATTTTTAAAAGCCGGCTTGTTCGAACCCTGTGCCGCGCGGCTACACGTGGCACGGGCTAGATAGATCGAACTAGCAAGCCATTCCGAACTATCTGTACACCTCGTTCCATGTTCGAACTAGGGTGGTAGTGTAGACATACCCAAATAGAGTTCCCTCAGTGATGGCACCACTGAAAATTATTAGTGCCTGCTTAGAGTAGAAAGTGCCCTGAATGTATCAGTTATGTGGCTGATCACTTTAATTTTCATAGCACCATGCAGACAATTGCAGCAGATGCTGCCCCATGGTCAAACCAGGTATAAGATCTAGGACCATATTTTATTCATGGTCTAACTCCGTTGAGCTTTGTAGATTTATACTAGGGATGACTTTAGCGCCTAACAGTACATTGTGTAACTACAAGTAAAGTCACAGGCATGGCTGTCCTTGTGAGCTTGTCTCTGTGCCATCCTCCAGCTGGGTCTGAACACCTTCCCCCATGCTCCCTGAGTGAGGCCCCACTCAAGGCCTGCTCTGTCTGCCCATTTCAGGGAGAGGGAGGCTGTGGAGGTCCAGGATGCCAAGTCCCGAGCCAAGGCCAACTGGCTAAGAGCGTTCAACAAGGTTTGCATGCAGCTGCACGAGGTGAGTGCCCCCCTCCTGCTCCCACCAGCTGGGAGGGGCCTGTTCAAAGAGGCCATAAGCAAGACGGCCTGACGCCTTTCCCTGCCTAGCTGGAGGAGCCCTGGTGTGGAATCGGATGGGACATGACTCGTGGAGCCGGGGCGGTTAGCAAAGGGTTGGCCTTGTGCAGCCTGGTGGGTCCCAGCTGAGGGGTGAAAGCCCCCCAGCTTCTCCTGTTTGCTCATGACGGACAGCATAAGAATGGCCAGACTGGCTCAGACCGCAGGGCCGTCCAGCCCAGTGTCCTGTCTGCCGACAGCGGCCAAGCCCAGATGCCCCAGAGGGAGGGAACACAAGAGGAAATCCTCACGACACCCCACCCCTTCACGCACCTCCGGACAAACAGAGGTTGGGGATCACTCCTGTCCTTCCTGGCTGTGCCTCACAGCATGGCCCAGGGGCTCCTTGCAGCACCGATCATGGGGAATGGCAGGAGCTTTCATCTGACCAAAACCTGCAGTTCCTGCATTTGCTCCCAGCCCCAGCTGCAGAGCCAGTAACAGGCAGCCAGTGCCTAGCCCTGGGGTTCTGGAGACGGTTTGCCAAAGTAATGAGGGGAGGAATTGGGGGAAGGGCTTTGGGCAGAGCTAGGTGAGTCTCCCTGTATCACCACATGCACCTGCCCCGCCCTTGGCCCTGCCCAGCGGTGCACTGAAGAGCTGCGTCCTCCCCGCGACGTCAGGGCAAGTTGGCTCAACTGGGACGTCAGGGTCCATCTCCAGAGTGCCAGGTGGCCGGGCCAGCCTCCCCGAACTGGCCTGAGTCCAGTGGGCGTGGCTAGGAGACGACAGTGCCCCGTGGGCTTTGGAGCTCGCGGGCCGAGCGCGGGCCAGAGTCCTCGCTGGGCTTGGGTTTCTCCTGAAACGTGGGCCCCCCTTCACTGCCCTGCCCTCCGGCTGGCGTTGCACTCACGGGCTCCAGGCTCGCTTGGGTCGGCTGCCCGTGGCGTGTCCCTAGCCCCGGGCAAGGGGAGAGTGCAGCGCGCTGCAGCGGGCCACCCACCCGCATGTGTCTGCTTCGTGCAGGCGTTGCTCTGTGCACATGGCTCCCCCTCCCCCGTCGCTTTTATTGAGTTGACCATTTTTTGTTCTGTTTTTAGACTCCATCCTCCATCTTTTCTTTTTCTTTTGGCTCCGGATTCGCCCCCTCCCGGGGGGTCGATCCCCCCTGCTGCTTCTCTTTTCAGTTGTTCACCACCATGGCCCTTGTGGCCGCATCTCCCCTTCTCCTGGGGGAGGGCGGTGGCACGCACGCAGGTAAGCATGTTTGATTGAGCCCGGATCTGTGCCCCTCCTGCTCTGAGTGTGTGTGTGTGTGTGTGTGCGCGCACGCTCACCCCTCTGTTCTCCCCCAGGCTCTGCTGCTACCCCAGCTCTTTATCCCAATCGGCAAGTGAAAAAATCAATTGGAGAGCAAAATCCTCCCTGGATGTCTGGTCTCTGCACACTCCCAGAGAGACTCAGCCTCCCACCGCTGCTGTCCCATCCAGCGTCTTCCAGCGCAGCTCTGGAAGGGGCAGAGCAGTCACATGTGCTGATCAGTTCAAATTTGCTCCCTGGTCTCTCAAGCATGTGGCCTCCCTGGTTTACGTGCTACCAACAAAGGGTTCGTCGGCTTTCTCAAAGGGCCGGGCTACAGAGCTGCTTGCTAGAATCCAGCTGGGCCAGAATGCTGGGGCCTTTGTTCCTCCTGCTTGCCTGGGTTAAATGCAGCCGTGAGTTTGCACAGAACTCTCCGATTTCCATTCTTCCCAGGGCATTGGAAACCCCTAACTCATTTGAACCCCCCATGCCCGCAATAGGGAGTTATGCTGTTCAGTGCTCCCCATGTGCCTCCGGACACTGTTCTTCAACACAGCAAAGCCCCAGTAAATCTGCTGCTGCCCATGCGAGCTGCATGGCCAGGAGGCAGCGCTGACCCTCTGTTTGTCCTACAGGCCCGTGGGGAAGGATCTGGCGAAGCGAAGTCGCTGTGGTTTAAAGGCGGGTGAGTAACCTGGCAACCCGGAAACCTTCCAGCCCCCGGCAACTGCCAAACTTGAGCCTGTTGTTGGGAGGTGGGGGGTGCTGATGTTCCCTGGGGCTGGGGTTGGGGTGGGATACGTGAGCCTTATGGAACAGAGCCACGGGGCCAGGTGAGCTATGGAATGAGACGTCTCCCCAGCCCATGACAGCCACAACCAGACTGTTCTTCAGAGCTGGCCGTTCCAATGGGCGCGGCTCAGTGACTGCAAAGGGAGGGTGGTGCGGCTCTGTTGGCCCCTGGCAGCACCCACCCAGGATGCGAGCCCGCAAACCGCTCCACTTCACTGGAAAGAACCGGGTGGGAACAGGCCGAGGGAGAAGAGAAAAGAGCAAACGTGTCCTGATGTCACCTGCAGGTTCCCACCCCCCTTCTGCGCTCTCAGTGCCCAGGCTGTGCCACGCATCAATCCGTGTTATGCCCTTTGCTCTCTGGACGTGCCACGTTCGGTCACTTCCCCGTGGCATGTCACAGTCCCGGCTCCCAGGCCTCTCTCAAAGGGCCCCGCTTGTCAGACTTCGCGGGGGAAGAGGCAGCTGACTCCACCTGGGGCTGGCTGAGATGAAGCGGCGGCGGCATCTCTGTGTACCCTCTAGTGGGCAAAATGCCCATCGGGGAACGTCTACACTAGCCCCCTAGATCGATCTAGGGAGGCTAACGAGGGCGACTGGAATTGCAAATCAAGCCTGGGATTTAAATATCCCGCTCTTGATTTGCATGTTCCCGGCCGGTCGCCATTTTAGATACTGACTAACCCGAGGTAGCTGCCTGCGTCTACACGCGGCAGTGAAACGGGATTCTGGAATAAAGCCCTCAATCTAATTAGGTGGTATTCCTCGTGGAATGAGGTTTACCACCTAATTCGATTTAGGGGCTTTATTCTGGAATCCCGTTTCACTGCTGCGTATAGACGCAGGCAGTTACTTCGGGCTAGTCAATTTCTAAAATGGCGACCAGCTGGGAACATGCAAATCAAGCGCAGGATATTTAAATCCCAGGCTTGATTTGCAATTCCGGTTGCCCTCATTAGCCTCCCTAGATCGATCTAGGGGGCTAGTGTAGATGTACCCAGGAGAAGGCGGGCATGAGGCCAAGCTGCCAGCTGTCCCCCAAGAGTCAGGAAGGTGTGTGAGCCCCACTTCCTCCGTGATGGATACAGGGGGCTCTGATCACTGGGTCTGTGTGGAGAGACCCAGAATTAAAGGGTCAGAGAAGCCTGCACCTGCCCCATCCCTGAGAAAACTCGTGTCTCAGCAGTGATGGAGGGCAAGGGCCTTTGGTATTGAAGCTGCCGAACATGGGCAGACCTGGGGTTCTCGCTGGATGCCAGCCTGTGCTGCCAGGGCGCTGGCACAGGGTCACTGGAGCTCCTGGCCTGGCCTAAGCAGCTACTGGAGTTGGTCAGAAAACCAACCAGGTTTCCCTGGGAAATGTCAAGATTCTAACTGACGTTTCAAACCAAAACGAGTCTTTTCATTTCCCCTTCTGGCCATTGCCTGGCCTGGCAAACCTTCCACCGGCCCAGAACAAAAGGCCCTTTTGGGGCAAGAGGTACATTTGCATTTTGAAATGACGCCGCAATGTGAAATGTTTTCTCGGGCTTTAGACGCAAAAGCCAAGCCAAAGCAGCCTTTTGAGTCCGGAGAGCCCCTTTGCCGTTGGATTCGGAGCGCCGCTTGGACAGAAACACCCTGTCTGGCATCGGGGACGGGAAAGAGAGACAGTCTGAATGAACCCGGAATTGTTTTGCTTCCAACAAACCTAGGAGATTTTCAGTGCGGCTGTGTCTACAATACAGACTTTTTCCGGGGTATTCCAGAGAACTCGTCCACTTTTTGGGATCAGTTTCCAAAAAAGCCGGCGCACGCTTTCGGAAGCCCTGTATTCCTCATTTTAGGAGGAATAAGGGAGATTCCGAAAGAGGATGTTTTCCGTGTAGACGGGCCAAATGTTGGAAAAGCCTTTTCCGTAGAAAGAATCGGAAAAAGGTGCGCACATTGCGATTTGTGTACCTTTTCCCAAAAATAACCTGCAGTGTAGACACAGCCTGGGAAAACTTTCTGCACAAACTAGCTACAGCCGCTGTAGCAGAAAAGGAGATTGTGCTGTATGAGCCTTCGAGAGAAGGGGGGCAAGATCCTTCACAGGCATCGTGCTTCATTATTCCCTTCTGGGGAAGGTGGGCAAAATGCTGCTGCTGCCTCAGAACCCCGAGAGGCAGCCTCGGTGCGCAGCGTTTCCAGTTGGATTGGTCCTGCCTTGGGCAGGGGGCTGGACTTGACGACCTCCTGAGATCTCTCCCAGCTCTAGGATTCTATGAAACCAGCATGGGAGCAAAATTCCAGGACTCAGCACTGACAAAAGGCTGCCACGTGCTGCACGTCAGGTTTTTGTTCTTTCTTTCCCAGCCAGTGTGTGTGGTCTCCGTGCACAGCCCCTCCCCACATCACTCCCCTTGTGGTCTCTGCTTTCTGGTGGCCTCTCCTGGCTGTGGCCTGCAGGTCTCTGTGGTAGGGGAAAGGGAGCTGCACAGGAGAGACTCTGGGCTCATCTGCAGTTTCAGACCCTGCTCCAGTCCCCTCTGGACCCACAAAGGCAGACCTCCCGGGGACCAGCCCACCTACACTGCAGGGTGGATTTAGGCAGGCTGGGCAGGAACAGGCACAGCTGATGGGTTTAATGCAGGGGCAGATCTGGGCCTGTGGCCTAGGGGATGTCGATCCAAATGTCAGTCCCTTCTGGCCTTCAACTCTGTGGCTTGAAGGCACCTAGGGCCTATGGGCCCACCACTACCGTGGCCCATCACCTGTCCCTCCTGCAGGGCAGGGACCCAGGTAGGGCAGCGGCTACTGCAGTCAGTGAACATCTCCGCTGCCCAGTGGGGAGATGTTGCCTCACCCTGGCATGCAACCCGGGATCACTGGCCGCTGGCGGGCAGCGCACAGGGCCCTCTGTGTGTGCACGTGGGTGTCTCGAGTGGTCTTCCTTCATTGCCCGTCCCCACTGACTCTTGTCTCTCTTCCAGGCCTGGCGGTGGTTTGATCATTATTGACAGCATGCCCGACATACGAAAGAGAAAGCCAATCCCCCTAGTTAGCGATTTGGTGAGGCCCCTCCTAACGCCGCTGGCTTCCCTGGCTTGTCTGCTGTGCCCTGCTGGAGTCTGCCGGGGAGCTGGCCCATGCTGGGTTACTCACAGGGCTGTGGGGCTGCCACTCCGAGGAGGGGGCCTCTCTTAGCATCAGTAGCGGCCTCCCCTCTCGCACGTCAGTGGCGCCTCCTCCTTTCATCCGGCTCTGGCGCTCTTTGCCTGCTGGCCTCGCTCGCTCTGGTTAACACGGCTGTGTTTCTGTTCTCTTTTCTGGGGGGCTGGCTGGCTGGCTGCTACCGCAGGGGAGCGGCGGTAAAGTTTCTGCGTTGCATTGACAGCATGCCTGACATTAAGCCTGGACGCAAATCCCTCCCACTAGTCAGCGATCTGGTGAGCTCGTGGTCTTCCGGGTTAAAGAGAGAGCGCCCTTTGCATCACCGGCAAGGCCCAGCAGGCTGCCTCCAGCAGAGAGACATCTGGAGCACAGGGCATGGAGGGGGGGCACAGGGCCGTCATGCCTAGTAGTGGGGGGCAGGAGTCAGGATCAGTGGTTAGTGCGGAAGTCGGTCGCCAGGATTCAGAGCCCAGAATCAGAGCTGGGGTCAGAGGCTGGAGCCGAGGGTTGGGGGGGGGTTACCTAGGGTGAGACAAGGCTCAGGTCAAACCATGAGCAGAGCTGGGTTCAAGGCACGGAGCAGCCACCGAACCGCTGGGCTTAAGAGCCGGCCTGCTGCGTCTTCGCCCAGCCAGGCAGCCGCTACAGGGCAGCTGCCCGCAGGCAGGCTCCGGTGCAGGCCTGGTTCCTGGCAGCGTGGGCGTGCTGGCATCGCAGCCATGTCGCCACGCAGAGTCACTCCCTGGCCACGTGGTCGGCACAGGCTCCTTCAAGCCCCCTCCTCTGAGCGTGGAGTGAGCAGGCAGCTCCTGTGCTGCCCGCCAGGCCCACCTGCCCATGCAGCCCATCTCGGCGGGCTGGGAGGAGAGTAGCCCAGCCCCCGTGGGGCCGGGTTTCGTCCCCAGCTCATTCAGATACTCGCCTCTCCTCTGCAGCCCGCCCGCAGGAGGGGCCGTTCAGCAGCGCGGGGGCCTCGCCTCTCGCACGTCCGGGAGAATAGCCCCAGACGGTGTCTGAGCAAGGGGGGGCGCTCGGGAGACCCAAGACATGGAGAAGGCAGGAGAAATCCTGAGTCTGCGCTGAGCGAAAGCTGGGGAGCGAAGTGGCTTGGCTCAGGCGTCACGGCCTGGACTTACCTCTGTTCCCGGATTCCCTGCTCATCCCTGTACAGCTCTGCAGCGGGCGCTCCCCGGGGGCAGCTTCGGGCTGGGGGGCACCACAGCGGCCTTAGATCCGTAACAGCGCTGCTAGAGAGAGGCCGGCGAGCTCGGGGCAGGCAGGAGTTGGCTTCGTTCGCAGCCGGGGAGTGTTAGCTTAGATGTTGGGGGAAACTTTCCGACTGTGCTAGTGCAGGGCTGGGACAGGCGACCAGGGGCGGCAGGGGGATGCTGTCAGGGACAGTCTAGGTCCTGGCTCCGTGTGAAGGGCTGGCCTAGGCTACCTCCCCAGGCCGCTTCCAGCCTGACAGGACCTCCCTCTGCTGGTGTCATGTTCTGCCAGGGCAGGGAGCGCCGCGACGGTCACTGTTCAAAGGGCACGCTGTCTCCTTAACAGAGGCTTTAGGGCCTTGTCCAACATGGGGCATCAGTCCGAGTCCGTCTGTGGTAGCGTTTGGTTTCCAGTTTTGTTCCCAGATTCCTTCACAAGGGCAGTGCCGTCGTTCCAGCAGGTACACAGACCCCCGGCGCATTCCCCTCGTTTCCAACATGGGGCATCAGTCCGAGTCCGTCTGTGGTAGCGTTTGGTTTCCAGTTTTGTTCCCAGATTCCTTCACAAGGGCAGTGCCGTCGTTCCAGCAGGTACACAGACCCCCGGCGCATTCCCCTCGTT